GTTATAGGGTGACCTTGATTTTTGGGGACAGTCCCATATCAGACAACCTGTCCTCAGCTAAAACTGTCCCTCAAAATGTCCCTGATTTTAGCATTTTATGCATGAGAAAAAAAAGTTGTGTGTAGACAGGTAGAAGGTGCAAGTGAGCGTATTGCTCTCAACAACAGTAGGTCGCACTTAAGTTAAAGGGGCTACATCATGTAAAATCAACATTTTTGAGTTTTATATCATGCTACAATGTTATCCTCTAATCAAAAACATGCCCAGAGTCTTACTTTGACTCATTCATACATGTTTGAGAAATCCTGTAGTGTCCTGAGGCAGCCAGGCAGGGGAGCAAAAATGACCGGTTGGGACTAGAACCACCTTTTGGGATCAGCTCCTCCTCTGGGCTGTGTCTCCAAGCTGAGCTTCCTCCTCAGAGAGCACACAGGCTGTGTCTCAATTCAGGGGCTGGGTCCTCATGAGTGCGCATTTGTCGCCCGCATACGTCACTGCCCCGCATGGAGGACTGTCCCAATTTGAAGGCTCATCTTCATGCGGCTGACAAACTCTCGAAATCCGAGGATGCATCCATTTATCCTCACCAGCCAAGGATATCCCAGGATTCAATGCAAAATAAACAGAGAAATTAAGATGGTGGAGGTTTTATTTTTTTAACGAGTCGGCGCAGTTTGGAAACTACCACGGACCGAAGAATTTATTTTTAAAAGTAAGTTTACCAACTTAGCTGATGAAATTTATGCTGCAATAAAATGTTAAAAAAGCAACTATAAGTTATGAGAATAAAGTCATAACATTATGAAAATAAATTCATAACATTACAAGGTTAAAGCCATAGTATGCTGAGGATAAAATCATAATATTACAAATTTAAAGTCATATTACGAGAAAAAAAAGTCATAATATTCTAGCCTTTACATGAAAAAAACATGCAGTTATCACTGCATTAAAATGAGGAATGTTGAGCAACTTGTCAAGTTGTTCTTTAGTATTGCTTAAAAAATAAATAGTTAATCTTTTAGCACATCAGCATCAAATTATCAGTAGCATTATTCTCATAATAGTATGATTTATTGTCGCAATAATAAAAAAATTCTTCTTGTGTGGCCCTAATACTCAGTCGTAGATACTGGAGCTAAACCCGAATTATTAATGCTACGTGTAACATTTTAACTGTGAAGTTATTCTTCCAGTAAAAAGATGTATAAACACACGTCCCAACACATTTTAAGTCTGATATGAAACTGATCACTATGGTAACGGGGGAGCACGTGGTCACGCAAACCCACCTTAAGCTGACTTCGGACGAAGGCTAGACCGTCTCATTTCACAGCAGTTTTGAGCAGCCTACCCAGCCCAGGGAGGATGTGGCCCACGTGGCCCAGCTAGGCTGGGTCCTCATGAGGACCCAGTCCATGAACTGAGACACAGCTACACACCCACCTGACCCCGTGCTGAAATGGGCGGGGCAGAAGCGGAAGGAGGTTCTTAAAGAGACAGAGGCCAATTTCAAGGTGTTTAGAAACAGATATGATGAGACAATAAGTTTATTTTCTATTTAAACATAAAAACAGCATTTTGATAACAGCTAAAGGTGACATAGATACTTTATTATGGAATAGTATTTAAATATATACCTGAGAAACACATAGTATTGCCCCTTTAACATTAGAAGAACCAAACACACTGCCTTTGAAAATGGCTGTGTAGCTGCAAGYGATGCTGGGTAACTTAGTGGAAGTCAACTGTTAAAGATGTTCATGAGTATGAAGAAAAGGAGAAGGGAAGCATTTTCCATAAAGGGGGTGTACAAAAATAAAGAGTGACGTCATTAAATTTTTTAAAATCAATTTGTGAATGAAAAGTTTCTGTGCAGCTCTGTGGTCATAAACTCCTCTTTTAAGCTGGAATGGACCGATCTGGAAGATGGAGGAAGTTGGTGTGAAGTGCCTCGTTTGAATTTAAAGAMACAGCGTCAAAACGAGTTGATCTGAGACACAGCTCAGAGCAGGGGTGAAAGAGGGGCTTGTGGAGTTACAATAAGTTGGAATTCGGAGCAAAGCAGTGCAGTTCCACTTTATATAGACCCCAAATGAAGGATTTAAATGTGAAAAAGAAGGATTTAAAAATGATTTGCCATACATAAGGAAACATTGCTTTCATCAAAAGATCTTGTTTGATTCTTTAACAGAGATTTAAATATTTTTCTTTGCATTTACACCCTTAACTATCYTTGAACTATCTGCGTTCAGTGTCCTGTTTGGATCCACTTTTTGTGAACAAATTTCCACTGTCTGGCCACTTTATGGACGACCTGGCTCCAGATGGGTGGTCCCGTTGATGAGCGAGGAACACACACGGAGCACGCACGTAAACTCCAACCTATTTGCGTGCATAGATTTCCTGAAATGCCGCAGAGTATACAGCCAGGCGTACATTAGTCTTCATATGCCACTTGGACATGTAAAGAGACCTCGTGTAATCTAACGCGTGCTTATATACAGTCCTTAGCATACATAACACAGACATCCAGCCCATCGCATGTACACAGTGAGGAATAAACAAAACACAGCTGCTTAGTCTCCTGTGGTGGATGTCAGGGTCACAGATGGAGAAGAAGGAGAGGAAGGGAGAGGCCCGGGAGGAAGAATCAACTAGAGGAAAGACAAAACTGAAGGGAGATGGTAAAGAGGAGGGAGATAAAGAACAGCAGATTTATACTTTTTCCTTTTTTTTGGTCACCTATCCCTTCTTGCC